ATTTTTATTTTAATATATTGATTTATTATAACTATTTATAAATTTAATGTTTAAAATTTTTTAATTCTCTGTCTTCTATAATAAATCATATCATTTAGTACAGTAGACTTCATTTTTATAATTTAATTAATTAATTCCTAGAAAAACCATTACACAAATGTTCCTATTTCCTGCAAACTCAATGTTGTGAACTGAGATTACTTTCCTGGAAATACAGTTTTAAATATATAATATCATTTAAAATAGCCAATAAATATATTTATAAATATAATATTTCTCTCAATCATAATAGAAAACTTACATCAGTTGTAAGTAAATAATTATAAAAGTCATACAATGTGTATTATTTTACTTTTGTTATAAAGATTAAGTTTCAATACTACCTTTACTTTCCCGACTGTTACGTATTCATAACAAGGGAAAGTATTGGAATCCTGTCAAATTTGACCCTCTGAGTTTTTTGCAAATCTCCATGTTTTGATACCACCCAAATCCAAAAATAGTCAAAAAATATATATAAATTCCATGGATATATATATATCCATGGAATTTTTTTGTCATTTTTTGACTATTTAATAGATATATATGTTACTGTGAAAGACCAATATTTGTGAATGTCGACATTCACCAGTGAATGTCGACACACACAACTGTGTGAATGTTGACATTCACCACAAACAACTGTGTGAATGTTGACATTCCCCCCATTTCGGTCATTCACAGTAACATATATATATACATAGTATATATGTGTGTGTATGTGTGTGGGCATCTGTTTCTTTTAAAATCTCAGAACGGAGTACAGATTAAGAAACAAAATTTTGAATAATGGCTTGTATGAGGACAATGATGCCATTAAAATTTGATGGTTAACTAAAGGTCAAGAATGCAGGGAGATAGAGAGGATCGTGTATCATATCTCAAGAGGGATAGGACTTAATAAAGATTTTATTCGCTATTAACATTTACTTTTTCCATAAAACTCATTCCTATCCTCAAAATTAATCTTTTTGCCATTTTATAGGAATTAAAAATATAAAACATTTTTATAACAAAATCTCATAACAGATGGCACCACACACAATTTTATTTTATTTTTTCTTAATAATATAGAATTTTTTAGAAATAAAAACTCATAATAGCCGAAAGTTACATAACTCATTGCTGGATTTTAGTATTTTTAATGTATTGTATATATAAAAACATCATTTGTTTTAAATTTTTGACTATTCATTTAATTATTATTAAAGCAGATATTTATGAAGCTGCATATTATTACTACTTCTAATAAACTAATAAAGAAATTGTTAAACTATTGAATGAAATGTTTGCAGTTAAAAAGATATGAACAAGAATGTTGAACATTCAATAAAGTTTAGGAAAAAAAACAAATTTTCTCCTATTTTCCTTCATTTTTTGTTTGTCCACTGTATTGATACCAAGAGATCATTTTAATCATGTCCATCATGGATTCAATTGGATCAACAATGAGCAGCAGCTATGTGAAAAGGAACAGGGACAGACATATTTAGGTCATTTCATTTCTGAAAATTTGGGTCTATTTTAACTTGAATATCTTTCTGATTTAGCCACTTGGCCAGAGAACATTAATTTGCTATAGTTATTTGCAAAATTAGTACTAAATGAAATCTAAAAACATACAGGGTTAGAGAAATAGTATAATAGTTATAATATATATTTGAATTATATCACTAATTGTGTATAATATTTTCAAGTTCTGCTTATTGGACATTCTAAAATTCTTAGAAACTTATATTTTTGTTCATGTCAACATTTTTATAGATATCACTTTTTATCAAAGAATTTCAAATACAGATATTAAAATTTTAATATTTTTATCAGATTATAGTGACGACAACAAGATAAAAGTAAAGAGAATTCAAAAACAATGACATAATTCAGTGATTATGAATCATTAACTGATAATATAAATATAAGAGAAGAAAATCCTGAATTGTTAAAATATCATAATGAAGGAAAAAACTACTTTGTCTAAAAATCTAGTGATAAATCTAGTATAATTTATAGCAAAATCAAATAATGAAAAACATCAATGTCAAAAACTTATTCTATAGAGACATACATTTCAATTATGAAGTCTGTCATTTTTTTCTGATCAATTGTTTCAGAAATTTTGTAAAAAGTTAATACTTTTTGTTTATATATTAATTTGTTGTGTTTTTTTATGCATTGGTTATTGAGAAGGTCTTTATCCTATTCATTACAAGTTAGGTACAAGTCTGCAGTACAAAAGCTATTCTCACTCAGCTATATCTGAATCAGAGCCTACCCTGAAAACCTCTTACAGATCGGATATAAATTTGAAAACAATTCTTACAAAGTGATAGGCATATATCTTAACTACTACCTCAGTCATCTAGAACTTCATTTCTGCATTGATATTTTGTCTCAGTTATGCAAATTAAATATTTGCACAATCCATAACTGGACTTGTCATTGTACCTTAGCCTCCATACATCATGGAGGCTATATAGACTAATCTTACAGTTTCAACTACCTATGATAAGTGCTTTCTGATTAGGCTAGAAACTTTTCATCAAACTGTCATTTATCCAAATGAAATCAAACAAATTTTTTCTTATAATTGCTGTACTTATCAGAAATAATAAAATAAGACGATTCAATAATATAGATTAGTTAACAGCAAAGAAGTATAGAATGATTTCATAGTTTGATGATAAAGTTATACCACTGAATTGTATCTTAATTCACATGAAAACCAAAGATGACATTTTTAATAAAATGTTCTTACAGTATCAAGATAATGTAATATAATTAAATTTTCCCTTCCATAATTTATGACACATTTCTAAAAATCCTACTTATCTTCTCAAGTTCATTTAACTTTATGTTGTTTGGATTAGCAACTAATTACTGAAGAAAAAATAATGGCATCTTAATTTTAATAATATATGTTTAATAAGAATCTATTTTAAGCTTACAAACATATTAGTTTTTTCTGTACTATATTAAAAACTAAAATTTATCTAAATTTCAGTTATAAAATATTGAAAATGTTAAATGTTTTATTACAAGACTGAACTAGCCACTGTAGATTATCTACTAAATTAATTAAACGATGCACTTTTAATAGTGGTAAAGTTGGAATAGTGATACCTATCAACAGACTTATCTATCCATTGACTAGGATTAAATGTTAGAGTTTCTCCAACTTCACCATTAAAGGAGATTGCTTAATTCATTAATGTTACTTAGATTTATACATTCAAAGTTCCCGTTTGAAATCACTCTAAATATAGCTTCACTAATGTAATTACTATATGAATAAATAATCTTATTAAAAATCATTTTTGTGATAGCTCCAAAGCACTTAAAACAGCAACGTATCACTTTGAAGGACCCAGGATTAAATCCAGACAGGACAAAAAAACCATCAGAAATTTTTTGAGTGGTCTGTCTGAATATATTAGGTTCAATTCCTTACCACCTGGCCATCTCATTGTGGGCTTGGCCAAACCCGTAATGGGCTTGCTAAAAATGCCCCCTTAGTGTTCACAGAACAGAAAGGAGGAGGAGATCTATCTTTTGCTATATTTTGTTACAAATTAAAAACTCTCATTTGCCATACTGTTTTGATCCAATATAAACTTTATCTGAAAAAACATTTTATTTTTAAGTTATAAATACAAAAATCATAAAAATAATATAAACCACGTCTTGAATGACCTATTATAATATAAATTATTATTCAATAATATTCTGATTACTGTNAAAAATTTCTAAATTTTTTTCTTATCAATGTAAAACTACATTCTAAAATGTAAATAAGCCATACTACAGGTTTTTTAACAATGACAATCACAGTGTGATCAAACACTGTTAAAGCATTTCAAATATTAGTCCTCAAGTCTATAGTAAACTTATGCTCAAGATTTAAGTATTTGTGATGACATGCAACAAGATAGTAATAAGTATAACTGATTCAGTGTTGCCAAGCCTACTAATTTTAAGTTTGTTTGTTTGTTTAATTATGGCAATGCAACATTTTGGCAATCTGCCTAGGGGGATATGGGAGGTCTTTTTAAGGAAAACTGGCCCTATTTAGTCTTACAGAAGTGGAGGAAACCTGGAAAACTCCATGTGACCAGCCCATCCGAGCGAGGCGCAAACCCACAACCGAACTCCCAGTGTTCAGGGTACAAAGACCGCTTGGCCACTGGTGGGCCTCTCTAATTGTAAGCACACTGTTCATTTCATCATCCTGAAGTTTGAATATCAATATTGATTAATGAAATTGATTAATAGCATTTATAATGTCTAATAAGAAATATTTCTCATTATATCAATGTTAAAGATGTTAGATATTTAACATTGACATAATAATTATAGATCAATAGTTATAATATACATTAGCACTTCAAAACTTCAAACATACACAAACTGTTTTATTGAACAAAAAAATCAAAATGAATACTAATTCTCCAGCCCTTTTGAACTACTTTTTGATGTTCTGAAATTAAAGAATAAGCTAAAATAATTACAGTGAAGTCCCATACAATATGGAGGGGAAACATTACATGTTATAAGAAATTCAAATTTTGCATATGTACTAGTCACACATTGTACGGGAGTTTACTGTAATTAGATTCCTAATGATTCAACTTTTTTTCTGACTCAGTCATTGAATTAAGTTATTTTATCTAAAATGATTTTAAGACAAAATAGATTACATAAGTCTTCTAATAAAATTATATTGAAATTAAGCTCAAAACTGTATATAAAGTTACAAAACTTAGTATTTTTTTTAATTGTATAGATCTGAGGATTTTCTGTTGAAAGATCAAAGTATCAAATAAACATTTATGCTAGTTATAGTGATTAAAAACAAATTTTGATAACTTGAAGAAATCATTTTATGCTAATAAAATAGTTAGAGCTCAATTAAAAATTAAAAACAATACAATATTCAAATCCTACAAAGCACGCAAAATACATACCTTGAAGCATACTCCTGTATGCACCATCAGTAATAGCAAATATGTGCGGCGGAACTTCGTGTCGTTTTTTACCTTTGTATAATTCGATTACTTTTTCTGTATATATCGGAAACTTTTTATATGGATTTACTACTACACAAAAAAGTCCAGAATATGTCTGAAACAAAAGCAAATTAAATAAAATGAATTTAGCATAAAATAATGCAATCTAAGATTAATGTTTATGTAAAATATAATCTCTAATCTTAGTAATATAATAGATTAATAAATATATATTGAAAATATTGAATCAAATGTTTATAATGATTAGATAGCCTAGATATTTACTTGCTACTGAGAGACCTGGGTTCAAATCAAGTTGAGATCCTCGAGAATTAGCATGGATTATTTACTTGTTAGCCTGTTTCTTACCATATGTCTATACAATTGTTTCCATATTGAACCTATGATTAGCATAAATTAACATGTTCTCAGTACCTCAGTGGAAGAATATTAAAAATATATGTAATATTCTAATATCTAAACATTCAATTTATAATGTTTAGCATGTTGATTAATATGTGATATCCCAGTGTGTAACACTGAACTTTCCATAGTTTGCCACTTGTACTGCCTGCATGTTACACTACTATTTAATTTATATTACAATTTTTCTCATTGGCAAAATACTATTTGTTGTATTGATGGATACGTGGCACCTCAGGAACATCTTATTTTTACTAGCATGAAAAAAATTTTAGGTCACCTTCTGATTTGAATGAAGGAAAGAATAATAAAGATTAACTTGTTTTATTGAAAATAGAGAAAAATTTTTGAATCAACTTCTTACTAAAGCATTACTGTTTTCTTACCAGGTATTTCTTTGAACATTTATGTTGTTTTTTTTTCTTTCTTTTTTGTTGGAAAATATTTGTTTATGGGGGAATAAAAAAACAACATATTGCATCAGTCAACATGTTAATTAAGTAAAATATTCAAAAAGACTTTTTGGTAAAGAAAAATTTTTAAAAAGCTACATCTTTATTAATAATCTTTCTGATAAAAAAAAATTGTTCAAAATTTTGAATCTTTTCTGTGTACCTTTGACAGTGAATTTAAAAACATTGAAATTACTTAAGTTTAAAAAATGTAAAAAATCTTAAATTCTAGAAAGTTCAAATAAATTAATTACACTTTGGATCGCATTATTAAAATAAGTTTTAATATAAAACCTTGAATTCTACACTTTGTGCACAGAACATAGTACATTTACAATATATTGAAGAATATTCAGTATAAATTCATCCTTCAAACTGTAATTTATTATCCTAAATATTTTCAGATCTGCCCCAATCCATCACTAGAACAATAGAAGTAAAGAAAAAGCCATCAAAGTTAGGAAGTAGAGTACAATAAAAATTAAGACTGTATAATTATAAATAGTTTAAAGAGTTGCTGTAACAGAGGATGTTAAAATATTTCAAGAATAAAAATGTCAATGATAACTTTTATAATCAAAGATAGAATAAATGTTTAATACTGAGAAGTTTGTTCATATTTTTGAAATTATAAGTTGGTTATAGATAAGATTTAATTTCAAAAATGCATTTCATTTTATTTCATTTTTTACTATTTCAAAATTCCTTGCATATTTAACATTAAATAAAAGATAACAGATTACATAATATAAAGGCTAACAGCCAAATTTTCATTTAAATAATTTTACATATAATAATAATAATAACTGAATATTTAATTTAGTACTCATTATTTTCTAATCAGCATAAGATAATCATAAAAATAGACTGTGTTTAAATTTTTTTTCGAAAATATTCAAAGCTTTATGAACTTTTATAAAATTTTCATATGCTTCCAATTACTCAACAAACTTTTTTTTTTATATTTTTAAACATAATTGCCAATAAAATCAATAAATTCTTAATACAAATCTTAGAAAATCTTTAAAAAATATATTGGAAATGTTTCTCATATATTAATGAATAAAAAGCATTGCAAAATTTATTCCTTTAAAATTTTGACATTCTTAGAGCTTACTCTGTAATTAAAATAATCTCAATACAATTATTTTGGTTGAAAATTGTAAATGGCTCATTCTACAGTTAAGTTTCTAAGATTTTGTGAATTGGTGCAATTTTTTAGAACTTTCTATAATAATAAACTAGTTATTCATACAATTCTAATGATGTTTTGATTATTTTTGCATTCTGAATCAAATGCAAATAAAATTTGAGATTACATCTTACCATTACATTATATAAATTTTCCCTATTTCTTTGATAGAAAAGCATACAATAGAAAAATGCATTCATTCTTTTGGGAATGAAAATTTATTTATTCATTTTGTATATAAATAAAAAGATTTATTTTTTGTATTTTTTTATCTTAATAATAGAAATTAATTGGGTTGCAACTTTCAAATTGCAGACCTATAAATTTCCACTGGCATCCATCTGTATGTCTGTATGTCAGTCTGTCCTTCCTTAATTTTGAGGTTGGAGTTAGATAGATGAAAGTCAAAACTACATACAGAAAGCTTAAGAGCCAGAGACCCCAATTAACTATATATAAACTTCTGGTTTTGATCAAAAGTTAAATTATTTAAAAATTCAAAAATTTTCTCCAGAACAAAGTTAGATAGATGACCAGCATTACACTACTGTTAATTAACAGGAAAAGTATGACATACATAGGTGAGACACTTAAAATCAAGAGCATACATTTTTTAAAAATTAATTAAAAATTGCAGCCCAGCATTGTGATGATATCAGAATAAATAGTTGCAAGTTTTGTTTAAAAGTGTTTAATCAACCATTTAATAAAAAAATCCTACTTGACTTTTTCCACAAGTCCTCTCAAGAGAATTTTGCACCAGACCTCACTTTTCTTCAGGTTGGCTCTGATAGCATATTTTTCAATTTCCAATCATTAAGATACAATATAATATTGTATCTTAATGTTGTAATGTTAAATAAGTTCTTAATAGTAGGTTGAAGAGTTCACCAAGTTTGGCATTATAAGTTACAATGCCGAACTCAGTTAACTCTCTGTCCTACTGTACAATATCTGGCGTGAGTATCAATCTAAAGTATATTAAGTTCTTAATAATTTTGATTATTAATAATGTTTGTTTTATTTACTATTTTTTTTACATTTTTTACAAAATACTTTTGTTATTGTAATTTTTATTCATTTCAAATTAATTCAAACATAATCAACCATAGTCTAAAAACAATGGCATATTTGTATATCAGGTATATTATTAAGATGCAGATCTTGATTTCACTCAAATCCATTACAGTTTGCAAAATTTAGAAGACAATCAGGAAAAGAATGAACAAGCAATGACAATTCAAATATTCTGTAACTGAAAAAGTGCAAAAATTGGATTGATTTGATAGGATAAGGCAATACAGCATAAGAATAATCTGCCATGAGATGCCTCCCGGGAGAATTTTCAATGGAAAACTGGCACCTATTTAAGTGTTAAACACATGGAGAAAACAATGAGGCCAGCCCATTGGTCAGGTGTAAACCGGTGACCAACTAATTTTCAATGTAACAATTTATCTGCATTTGCTATAATATACAAAACAACACTTGAATCATGTGAACTGCTGTTTTATTATTTTATTTATGTAGAAAACCAGAAAAACCAAATTAATTCTCAAAATTTTTTGGGCTGTTGTAGTTGTATTTGAGATCTTTTAAATAGGGAAATAAGCTTTAATAGGAACAGAATTTTAAAGGTAAAAAATTATACAGTTATATGAAATTTGTTTTAAAAAGATTTTAATAACTGATGACAGATACAGTAGATCCCCCTATAAAAGCGTTTCCTATAGTTATGATTCCTATAAAAATTGTGGCATTATCCGTAAACAACGGTAAAAATAACTCCTATAATACGTAAAACGTCATCGGGCAGCCGAACTACTTACCCGCCGTCCGTAGCGCCACGCTACGGAGAGATTTCTATCGTCTGGACAGTATTATATAAATTATATATAAATTAGGTACTGTACATATAATTATATATTAATTATATATAAATTAGGTACTGTATATATAATTATATATTAACTTAATTTATTGTAACTTTATTATAATTAAATATATATTTTTCGCCGTCTAGCGTCACGCTACGGCGAGTTAGGCGACCTATCGTCTGTTTAGTACTGTAATTTTATACATTTCTTGTGAAAGAAACATTTCTTATTTAACGGCCATAAAAATTATTTATATTAATGATGTCTCCAAAGGTCAACGAAGTTTTAGCAGAAAAATAATATCAGAAATAGCGGCCGCAATTTGATGCGCTGTTCCGCGACGAAACCAAGCTTTAGCAACGAGCGTAGTCAAAGGGTACACACTCGGTAAGTAATCCTACAATTTTTTGTTTATAACGTAGTTTATACGGATTATTTTTAAAAAAATATACGTATTTTGGAAATGTTGAGTCGAATTAGTCTAGAATCGATTAATTTTATGAAAGAAAACCTTTCAAACAGCCGTAGTCCGTAAACTATGATTCCTACAAAATTGATTCATAAAGAACGGAACGTATCTACCGTCTTATAGGGGGGATCTACTGTATTTTAATTGTTAATTAAAATTATATTTAGTAAAGTTATTGCTAATAGTATACACATTTCATTTCTTCAAAATAAAATTTTTATTAAAAAAAAATTATTTTAATTTGCTTTAGACTAATTTTAATACAGTTTTTATAAAAGTTTTATTTCGTGACAAAAACATTTCTACAATATTTATTTATTTTTAAAATTTTGCTGAGAAAGGGGGGAAAAAAATTTTTTTAATATTCAAAAAAATTTAGATAGAAAATCGTCCAAAATAATAATTGTTTATAAATAAAATTAAAATTGCGAGCCAAATTATTATTAAAAAAGTATTTTTATAAAAATTTTATTTCAAAAATTCATAAATTTGACGTCATTTTACATTCTTTAATTTAAAATTCTTAATAGCAGACGACTCGACTCGACGCGTGACGTCAGAAGAATTGCGAGCAGACGACACATCGGTTTCGGTGGCCGCCATTATTCGTCATTCTACCAAAATTGTTATTTTTAAAAGAGAACGAAGCCACGTAATAAGAATTACAATTCCCAAATTGAGAAAAATGAAAATAGAAAAGGT